CTTGAATTGGCAAAGTTAGTATTTTGGCGAATTCCGGTTGATAGGTGAGATTTTGATCCGAGAGTCGGAATGGAATTTCGAGAGTTGTTGTAGCTTCATTATCTCATTTTGGACTTGTCTGCAAAATTTGAGGTCATTTGGACATGGTTTGGTTGGGTTTTTTTTATCAAAAATAGAATTTGGAAGTTCTTGAGATTCATAGGCTTGAATCTGATGATGATTTGATGTTTTGATGTTATTTTGGGTGTTCCGAAGGTTGGGACAAGTTTGAATGATATTTTGGGACAATGTTGATATAATTGGTTAAGGTCCCGAGGGACTCGGGTGGATTTCGGAAGTTTAACGGAATGGAATTCGGACCCAAAAAGAAAAGAAAAAGCTGCTGCAATTTCTGCTGCTAAGCTGTCTTTGGACAGCAACTGTGCAGTCGTGGAGCGTACGTCGGAGGCCTATATCTTTTGATCTACAAGGAATTTTGAGATGATTCAAAAATGAAAGTTGTATACCTTCGTGTCTAGTTTGCAGAAAGATAAAGAAATCATAATTTGGACATCTGTAGAGAAAGGTATGATCGATTGAAGATGACTGGTGGAGCAGTTTCTCCAGAATTTTCGGATTTCATGGAGCCGATGTTAGAAGCTCATATCTCGGGATTTATAAAGTGTTATATGGTGTACAACCTATCAAATTAAAAATCTTCGAGTCTAGTTTCTAAATCTTCAAACTGTTTGTAATTTGGATATTTATACAAGACGTTATGGGTGTTTAAACAGAAGGTGTCCGACAAGGGAAAATTTTAATAGGATGTACAACTTGTATAGCACAAGTGCAAGGTACAACTCGACGAAGCACGGACAGATTCTTTAAACACGGATTTGGCTTATTTCTTTCATTTCTTTCATTTGGCTTGGATGATTTTGGAGAGAATTTCAAGGGGGATTTTATCAAGCATCAAAGGTGAGTTGTTTCTACTTATTTCCAAGTTAAATACAAGATTATATGTGAATTAGAACATGAAAATCAGTAGAAAAGTGGGGTTTTAGGGCTTGTGCTTTTGAGATTTTCTAGGGTCGATTTGAAGGGTCAAACGAGCTCCGATTTTTTGTGTTCTTTATATGTACGAACTCGTGAGAGGACGAAGAACATCTTGGTATAAAAATTTCTGAGTTTTGAGACGTGGGCCCGGGACTCGGGTTTTGTCAAATTCGTGAATTTTGATATTTTTCGATTGCTTTCGATTGGGTATTTTCCCTTTAGCATAATGCAACATATTCGTTGTGATTTT